TTTAAGGTTTCGCGTGCCGGTAATACATGTTAACGTTTTTTAGAAGGTCTCTCTCTATAAGTCTATATTATATAACTAAACGATTGTGGTATGTAAAGTAAACAAGGTTTTCAAAATATTTAAGAAGCTTCACTTAAAATTAAATTAAAATGCTGATCTTACGCCACCAGCCTGCTCAGCCCACTGCCAGCCTGGCATTCTGTTCACCTAGGCTGGCAGCGGGCTGAGTGGGGCCTGACCTCTGAAGCCCCCCACACCCCCAGAAAGGTGGGTGTGGGGGGCTTCAGAGGGCTGGGGGTGTGTGGAGGTGCAGGGCAGAAGGCTGGTGGTGTGGAGGGTTCAGGGAAGAGGGCTGGGGTGCTCGGCTCGTCGGGGTGCTCCCAGCCCCCTGACCTGAGCGGCTCATGGCAGAGGGCTGGAAGGGATATGTCCTGTTGCACCCCCTTCCCCAACGCCCCGTCCCTACCGCTCTCTGCCTCCTTTACCCAGGGCCGGCTTTAGCAAGGGGCTGCGGGGCTGCCGCGCGCCAGCTGGAGCTCCGGCCGGGAGAGCAGGGCCGTGGGGCTTTTGCGGAGCAGCGAACACGCTGCCACTCCTCCCCCCTCCCTTTGCAAGGGCCGGCGCAGGGAAGGAGAGGAGGAGGGGCAGGGAAGCAGGCTGCACCATGGCTGGGGGAAGGGGGGAGCTTGGCTGCTGCAGGACGAAGCTTCTGCCTCCTGCCCCAGCAGGGGAGAGCGGTGGGCAGGGGGGCTGAGTGCAGCTGGGGGTCGGAACCGCGGCAGGCAGCCACGTGCCATTCAAAAATCGGCTCGCGTGCCGTGTTTGGCACGCGTGCCGTAGGTTGCCGACCCCTGGGCTAGCGTAATGCCAACAGACTCCGCTCAGCGGTGGGTGGGATTGAACCCCGGGACCTCTGAAGCTTAGTGTATGAGCCTCTACTGCATGAGCTAAAAGCCAGATGGCTCTTAGCTAAGGCCATAGCAGACTCATTAATGCACTGCTACAGACTAGGGACCGAGTGGCTAGTAGCCCTGAAAGGCAGCAGTTCTGCAGAAAAGGACCCAGAGGTTACAGTGGATGAGAAGCTGGATATGAGTCAGCAGTGTGCCCTTGTTGCAAAGAGGGCTAGCCACATTTTGGGCTGTGTAAGTAGGGGCATTGCCAGCAGACCGAGGGACGTGATCATTCCCCTCTATTCAGCACTAGTGAGGCCTCATCTGGAGTACTGTGTCCAGTTTTGGGCCCCACACTACAAAAAGGATGTGGAAAAATTGGAAAGAGTCCAGTGGAGGGCAACAAAAATGATTAGGGGGCTGGAGCACATGACTTACGAGGAGAGGCTGAGGGAACTGGGCTTATTTAGTCTGTAGAAGAGAAGAGTGAGGGGGGATTTGATAGCAGCTTTCAACTACCT